TATTAATAATCTGTCACCCTCAGAGACTGTCGCCTCGATAACCATCTGGCAACATTAAAGCTGAGGTCCCATAAAGAAAACAGAGAATTATACAATCTAAGACTAGGAAACTTTCTTCAATCTATTCCTAATGATCTGTGTAATATTGATGAAATAGGAGTGTGTCCGCGTAGTGCAACCGTGGATATTCAAGAGCTACTAATTATATATTAGAAGTTCTGTACATGTATTGTAGAAGCCCTGAAATGTAAGTATATCAAAGCAATATTGAATATACTTCTGATCAGTAATTTTTGTAGTAAATATTCTCTTAATTAAATCACATAGTTAAAAGTAATATCGTTCGGGAACTATGGAGTTATTTTAACACTATTAAATTTATACCAAAAACGAGAGAATCTATATAAGAATATATAATTATGACTCTAAGTGGTTAAAAAACCTTCTATAGGCTAGCTATGCCTAAAGACATAGTCTCGTGTGAGAATCTCCTAATTTAGTCATACTCACTAAAAAACCCAACTTTATCTTAATATGAAATAGGTTTAACAGTAAATGTAGGCTTGGATTAAGTCTGAATAAAAACAACAGTTACGGATAGTAACGGTTTAAAAAAAAGGAACAACGAACGAACCAACACTTTTCAATGTGAGCGTCATCGTAGGTCCACTTTCGGAATGGTAACCTTTAGATATTCTTTGATACATTTGATTTCATGACTGGAACGGGTGGGGTTCGCCAATATATACTCCGCTAACTGATTTGACTTTTGACTCCATATATCAAATGATTCAGGACTATGAAGTATGTGATGTAATAAGTTATCACCACCCAGTTGAGCATAAAAGGAGCAGGCCCCTGTATGCAAAACCGAGAGGGAGTAAACCAGCCATTGATAGTGAAAAGTGAAGTAAATCATGGAAATAAATAGTAAGTCTCGGTCAAGTAAATCATGAATTCTACGAAAAATCATAAACTATATTTAAAGAATAAAATCAGGTAATGTACGCATAATCCTCGTGAGATGTCCTATAGGAGTTTCATCTATTTATTGATAAAACATATCTGATGACCTTTTTGAATCAAATAGTCTCCGAAGTTCAGACCAATTCGAAAAAATGAATTGTGAATAATTAGATCCAGGTTGGTTGCAGGATGTTAGAATCCAAAACAAGTTGAACAATTTCGTTTGATCCGTCTTCAATGCACTGGATGGTGGAATACTAGAAATGGGTCCATTTGAACACTGCAGAATCGTCAGTTTGTTGTGACGAAGTCCGTTCTGGTGTGAGTAGTGCCACAGTCAACTTACAGTTTGTCTAACTCCAGTTTGCCAATATGTCCCGTTCAATTGTTGGGTTAGGGAAGTAGACAACAACAAATGCTATGATATGAGGTACCACTCTGATTCATACTCTGATGATGAGGTTGGTATTTCATAGAGGTGTGTTTATTAAACGGATTAAGTTCCAATTTATGATACTGTGAGTCATTGTTATCTATAAACTCACGTATACAGTCGAGATCGGTATAGCATGAACAATAACTAGATAATACAGGTATTTTGTTATCTATGTCACGCAAAGGGTATGGTGTATAATCTTGCTTGTAGCAAACGGCTTTCACAATAAGAAAAAAAATATTTAATTTTTTAATGCAAAATCTAAAAATCAGTTTGCGCGTGATTAAATTGCAATTTTATTTTATTTTGCAACAAACAAATAATAATAATAATAAATAAATAAGGTGATGAGATGATGATGATTTGTTTATCTTTTTTACGAAATAGCTCAGCTGTATTGACATTAAACGAAATTTAATTTTGAATTCGTGACCAACTGTCTAGATCCTTCTCTCTTTAATATTATGCGATCTGCGATGGTAACATAATAACCATATGGCTTGTTTATAATAATCACAGGTCTTTTCTTAAACCAACTTTTCTTTTTTCTTATAGTTTTTACATATACTTTACTCTGTGTCAGTTCATGTCATGCCGTTATTCTTCATAATATAGTATTGGCATCATGTCAGGTGAAGTATTTTATATCTTATTCTGTTTATGTTTCATATAAATCTGTGATCACATTTATTTTCTAATGGAATATTTGCGGCATTTGAATATATTCCATGCAACGAGTAACTGATCGAACACCCGCCTTCATTCTATGTTTCTACCTACTTTAACAAAAGATGCCAATAACGAAATGGTCACTTTTATATTTGAGGTATGATGTAAGTTATATATATATTTTCTAAGCAGAGTGTTCCTTATTTAAACTTCATGATGATATTCATTCTAAACTTATTCCCTTTTCAAGCAAACTAACTTAAAATGGTTAATTATTTACTTTTTTGGTTGCCAGCTGTGCTATTACTCCAAACTTTTACTAAAGCAATTGATGTTAGCGATACTCTTATCATAAGAGGAACTCGCCAGGGATATGTATCATACGATATTAAGGGTACGTTGTCGCTTGTAGACGTGCAAGATGGTGATCTAAACATCGTCACTGTTAATAGCGATGGTCAATTTTTCTTTACTACGACCTTTGTGAACATTCCGACTATGCTAAGTGTTGTTAACTTGATCAACCATGGAATTTCTCGTGTTGATACCACCAGTTCTAGTAGCTTACAATTCATCAGCGTCGACAATATTGTGAATTATAGAGATATGATACTCAAATTTCAAGATACGAGCTTTGCCATCCATCAAATGATTTCTCTGCTTGGTTGTATTGATATAAATGGTGATTCGCGGAGCCTGATAGCATTCCCTGAGATCTCAGCAAACCGTGGTTTGATTTGTCTCAGCGGGGGAGTCCGCTTGATGGCAAAAGGGATGTCTGGCGATGGATGTATTATCTTGAAAGACGATTCCATTGTTACCCTTGATGACGAATCCTGCCGCAATTCGATATGTTTTTCATCAAATAAAGAGGCCACACTTCAGATGGGGCGGCCACCTGAAAACCCCATATATGTGGCCCAGTTTGGACGGAACAACGTTATTCGAATTTTTAGTTTAAGCGCAACTACTCCAACATTCTCATACCTGGGACGTTTGTTAACTTTTAGTTACGGGAAAGAGAACTATGTTTTTGATATTGGTGAAGGTTATACACTGGACAGCTTTATGTTTATCTATGATGTTATGGAAGCCGAAATCACTTGCACTGTTCCTATCCCATTAGGCAGTAACGCGTGTCCACACCTGGACTGTAGTATATCAGAGCAACCTATTCCCGGTACAACGCCTGAAGTATCAACGAAAACCACTGATGGGAGCACTTTTACACTTACAATTACCACCGACGAGACCCTGTGGACAACTATAACAGCTTCGACTGAAGAAACTACCACCGATGACACTACGACGGACGAAGCCACCACAGAAGAAACCACCATGCAAGAAACCACCACGGGAGAAACCACCACCGAAACAAGTACACTGGAAGAAACAACCACAGAAGAAACAACCACAGAAGAAACAACCACAGAAGAAACAACCACAGAAGAAACGACCACAGAAGAAACAACCACAGAAGAAACAACCACAGAAGAAACAACCACAGAAGAAACCACCACAGAAACAACCATACTGGAAGAAACCACCACGGGAGAAACCACCACCGAAACAAGTACACTGGAAGAAACTACCACAGAAGAAACAACCACAGAAGAAACCACCACAGAAACAACCACAGAAGAAACGACCACGGAAGAAACCACCACAGAAACAACTATACTGGAAGAAGCCACCACAGAAGAAACAACAACAGAAGAACCAACCACGAAAGAAACCACCACAGAAACAAATACACTGGACGAAACCACCGCAGATGAAACCACCACGGATGAAACCACTACAGGAGAGGAAACCACAACAGGAGAAGAAACCACAGAAGAAACCACGACAGGAGAACCAACGACAGGAGAAACAATATCAGAAGGAAGTACGACAGGAGAAACAATAACAGGAGAATCAACATCTGTAGAGTCCACCATAGCAGAAACCACAGCAGGTGAATCAACAGGTGATGAAACCACCGCAGTAGAAACTATAACTGAAACTACTCTTGAATCAACTTCTGATACCACTTTTGAATCCACCCAAGCGACTGACTGGGAAACTACATCAGAAACCATACCAGAAACTACCGCTGAGACCACACCAGAGACGAGATCTGAAGCTACTACCGATACTGAGTTTGAATCCAGTGAATACACTACCTCGGATACCTCTCCACTTACTCCTTATGAGACAACCCCGGAGACAACTCCACAAGAATCAACTGAAGTCCCTTCTGAAGCTACTTCAGATGGTAGTTCAGGATCTATTCCAGAAACCACTCCCCAACCAGCTGAAACCACTTCTGACACCCTTCCAGTAAGTACTTCCGGTTCTACTCCAGAAACCACTCCTCAAACATCAGCTGACCCCCCTCCAGAGACCACTCCAGATACCACTCCAGAAAGGACCCCAGAAACAAGCCCAGAGGCGTCGCCTGAAAGCACTCCAATATCAACCTCAGAAACCGCTACCACCCTGAAAACAACTACAACTGATACTGAAACGACAACCACTTTAGCGGAAACGACGAAAACAATTATCACTACCACCACAACCGAATCCTCATTAATGACAATTACAATAGTGACCGTTGTCCCAACGGAGACGACTGTGACCACTATCACCATTGCAACTAGCGGAACCATTATGTTCACCACTGAAACAGTAATAGTTGTCCCAACTAGTATTTCTAGAACAGTCACACTAGCTACTAAACTACCTGTTTCAATTGTGACTTCAACAGGAGCTGTAATTACAACCCTTGTTACAAATACAATCGACGGTACACCAACCCCAGCTTCTGAGGTTTCCACCATGCGTCTGTCGGAACTCAGTGCAATTATTACTTACTGGAATACCGCTGATGGGTCTGGGTATAGATCATTCAATGTGAAATTAATAAAAATTGGGTTGGTGGTTCTAACTTGGTTTATGGTTTGGGCTTGAATCTGAGATTCACAGCTATTGTTTTTGTCCTACGAAATGAAGTGCTTATGACAATTTATATTTGTTTTTTTAATTTGTATTTTATTCTTCTTAGAATTGTGTAGTTTTATTGTAAAAGAAATAACCATCAAGTTATTCTTATTTGGGGTATTATAATTTACAACACTCAGAGAGTGTCGACTAGAGAGACTCATGCAAGAATCATCTGCCAACATTAAGTTGAGCAACAATTTCTGGAATTGTAAAATTCCTGCCCATAAAGAGAGCAGAGGATTATACAATCTAAAAGTAGAGGACTGTTCATTATTGACACTCGGACTATTTTCTCTTTTGTTCAATTTATTCCTAATGACCTGTTTAAAATTTACTCCTGTAATAATTATATTTTTTTTTAGTTGGAACAAAGTTGACCGGTTTCGCTCTGTTTTTCTTTTTTTTCTTTTAGATTTCAATTTTTCATGTATTTCCGGAAAACCATCTTTCGGTTATCATTTACAGTTTTTCCACTTTTAGATAGTTTTACTCTTTCTGCCCTCCACCAAAAAATATTAGCACCCAAAACATGGACCACCAAGAGCTGCTAGACCAGTCAGAAATTAAGAAGAAGAGGAAGAGAACATATGGTACCTTCATATGTGATCATCCTGATTGTAATCGAGTATTCACTCGAGCTGATCATTTATCTCGACATAAAAAGAATCATGATCCTTCAAGACAATTAATATGTAGTTGGCCAGGATGTCAACAAGTATTTGCTAGAAATGATATTAGAGAAAAACATTATCAGCGTCATATTACAAAGGTTAAGAAGTTAAATGATAAGTTGCCATTACGTAATATTAATTCTACTGTCTTGTCTAGTTCAAAATCGGTATCTACATCAGCATCAATATCAACAAATACATCCAGACCAGGTTTGGATAACACCCAGGATATGCTAACCATGCCACTTTCAGCAACATCATCTACTCCATCTATAACAGCTTCTCCGATTTCACTCCCACTTAGTTCGTCTAGTCTTACGATGCCCACGGCTACTACCACTATGGCGCACGTACAACCGTCATTATCGTCCTCAATATCAATGTCTAATAACAATTCAATAGCTTCCTCAACAATTATGCCACCCTCAGTGGGTTCGATGGTTCCATCATCGTCATTCATGGCTCCATCACTCTCAATGCCAACTCACCTAAATCTAAAACCAATGAGTCCCTCCATGTCTACCCCAAATCCAACAAAACCATTAAATCCTTCCGATTTGATAGATTGGTTATTTCAAGATGATACAATGTCAAAGGGGAAACTAGCAACCAGTGAATTCTACAATTTCCCCACCGATGTGCCAGTATCTTCATTATTTATGAATGCATTTGTCAACTCCCCTTCCTTCCCCATGAACAATTCAAAGAATCGAACTAGTATTGATCATAATATTCGTGAAAAACTAATTAATCTCTTACCTGAATTAAATGCTAATCCAGATTTTGGGATCCCTCAGATTGAAAGATGTTTAGAATTATATTGGCTGGTATATCATACCCAATATCCCATTCTCCATAAACCATCCTTCTCAAACCAAGATGCCCACCCATTGCTTCTTCTAGCTATGATAATGGTAGGTGCCAGTTTTACTGACTGTACCAGCGATCCCCAAGACCCCAATGGAACTCTATTCATGGATCCACAAAAATTGGCAGAACAAATTGCTGATCCATTAAGATGGTTAATCTTTTCCAATAGTGAATGTCGTCCACCGGCCAAAACATACATTATCCAAAGTTTATTATTATTAGAATCATTTGAAATCACGTCTACTACGAGATATTTACATGAACGGTCATTTCTTTATCATGGAACCAAGATCCAATTATTACGTCGAAGTCCATTATTAGGTGGAGATCCACTAAAGAAAGAGGTCGCTGGTCCACCTCAAGCAGGCTGGAAACAATGGATTGAATATGAATCAATGAAGCGTGCTTGTTTTATGGCGTTTTATTTAGATACCGTGAATGCAACCGTTTATGGCCATACACTAATCCTATACGCGTATCAAATTCAACTATCCCTCCCCTGTGAAGACTATCTCTGGGAATATGACAACATCCATCAAAAACACTTAATCACCCCTACATCATTCCAACCGCCGAAATTCCTCGACGCCTTGAAAAAACTCCTTCATCGTCAACCTGTCCACACCACCAAATTCGGGCGCAGCCTCCTCTTGGCGGGTCTCCTAACCATCATGTTTCAAATGCAACAACGTGATCTCCAACTCTCATTCCTCGAATGGAATTCCACAAAGCAATCATGGAATGAAACCATGTCATTAGCAATGGACGTCTGGAGAACCGAAATCTGTGGTCAAGGAGGCTGTTGTTCTACTGAAATGGCCATCAACCCAACCCATGACCCTACCCTTGGTCAGCAACAACAACAAATCCTAATCCCAAGCTTAAGCCCGCAAGACACGGGGTGTAAATTTAGTCTATACCATATTGCTCAAATATATATGAGAATCACCCATTATGATTACATAGTCTACGCGGGAGCACCTAGTCGGATGAATGTCGCCGTGACCGAGAACGAATATGCCACTGTTCAAAAACGAGTAAATGATTGGGCCAGGAGTTTGAATGGAGGCATTGCAACCGTGCATGCGTATTTGATCCTATGTGAGATGTTACTCCTGCCTGAGAATGATGAGATTGTGTTTGGATATAATATGAATGCCGATCCATTTTTACATAGACGGAATATTATCATCAGTGCGATTCTTGTTGTTTTTGCTTATAATTTCTCTCAAGATGGTCCGGAGGCGGATATTTTTGATCAGTTGGCGGCAGATGGGGGGACATATCCCGAAAGAGAGGATGGACATGGATATCTTAAGCGGATTAGAGCTGAATTGTCACGATCAAGTGCGGGGAATTTCCATTTACATAGTAATAATAATAATGTTGATCCTGTTACATTTCATAATAACATCAAGACATATGCTGAATATCTCCGCATGATTCGGAATAAGAATAATATGGTTGGGTTGTTAAAACTCTTGTATAATGCTTATTGTGGATCTAAATGGGAGATTGGACTTGAGTATTCAAACTTATTAAGGAATTGTATTGAACGATGTTTAGGAAGAAACAATATTACATGTAATAATATGTATTTACGCCCATAGAGTTATATAGATATAAAATACATACATACATAAGAGTAACACTATCCGAACTACCAGTCTGTGTTATCCCATTTGATAAGTTCAGCAGCTTGTTGATTCGCATCCTTCTGCGCCTTCGTTCTCATATAAAAGATCGGACAATCCTTATTCGAACACAACACTTCCTGATGTAAACTTCCCTGACATCTTTGACACTCCGTCCATAATCTCGAAAACTTACTCTCCAAATAATTCATCTGTGACAACGCCTGGGAATACAATTCCGGTCCCTTTCCCTCTCGTATACAATTCGGACAAAGTGCACCATGATTGTCCGACCTCAATGGAGTTCTACAACTGACACAAACTTCCGACTTCTTGGCAAATCTCATCAATCCCCCCGTCTTGGGCGTCGCCATCTTGATGGTTCTCGTATGTGACCCAGCTAATAATTCTTTGGTTTTCAGTTCTCCCAAAATTGGAATAAAGATTCTTTCCAAAGGTTTGGTTAATTGTTGTTCTAAATAATACTTCACATCAATCGGTAAAGAATTTTCCAATACATATAATGGATCTTCCGATTTTTCATAGTTTTTATCACCACCCGATTTAATAATCACATATGCAACTCTATCACCCAATGTTGGTGCAGAACCGGGATCTCTTTTCCTCATACGTTCTGCCAATTCGACATGGGCTTGTTTTGCCGAATATTCATGTTTGGAATATGCTTTAGTGATGACTAATTGAGATAAATCGACTCGGTTTTGTAATAAATCCGCAATTGTCTGTTTCACGAATCGTTGAGCTTTTTCAACATCACGTTCTTCCAAGATGAATTCCAAGACTTTTGTAATCACATTTTGAACCAATCGACAATTATCTCTTCTGACAGTTTCGATCCCCTTGGTGTCCATTTTATCGAATTTATCGGGTCTGGTCCAATATAACCCAGCATATCTCTTTTTGTTAATTAACAAATATGGGAAATATACTTTTTCGAATTCTAATTTAATTGGGCTTATGAATTTCGTAGAAACATAATTTGCCGCCTCTTCACCTAATTTCATACAAGTTTCTAAATCTTGATATCCAAATTTAACCATCACAGAATCAGTATCACCATAAATAACTTGAGCATCATAAGGATGTCCATTCTTTTTGGAATAACGTTCTTGAACTTCATTTTTCGTCTTTTCGATCATTTCTCTTCCAAATGCAGTCACTGATGATGAAATTGCCAAACATGGTAATTTCCCCACCGTGGCACCCGTGAATCCATATACCGAATTTGCAGAAATTTTCAATGCCAATTGTCTACCATTAAGAACATCTTTCTTAAAAGGATCAGTCTCTTTTTTCAAATCGGCTTTAGCTTTCTTTCTAGCAGTCAACAATTCATTTAAAATCGTAGGCAAGATCCCTTGTCTCTTGTGCGATTTAACAAAATAATCACCATTAGGAGTATGTGTATAATCATCTTCAGTTAATCCAAATGCTTTAATCGCTTGTTGGTTAATAATCGTAGTATAACATAAATTATGAGCCATCATAATTGAAGGATATAAAGAACTAAAATCCAATGTAGCAATAGGAACATCATAATAACCCCTTTTTGGTTCTATAACCGTTGCACCTTCATAATCTTGATCTTGACCATCAGATTTCATATTTGGAATCACGATATCTTCTTCAAGACATTTTCTAAATAATTGAGAAATGACTTTAATTTGTTGTCCTCTTGCTAATAAATAAGAAAACGGTACACCTGTAACTCTTGCCATTTCGGTATAATTAACCAAACACATAAGTTTATCAAGTAATCTCATGGGTAAATAAGCATCTTTTAGACAATAAACTGCTAATCTTCTTCTAGTCTCTTTAGTTCCATTTTGTAAATCAGTAATAATCGAATGTTGAACATCTTCTTTTTGTTCACCTAAGAAATGAGCCGATACGGAATTTAAAGTATATGATCTTAATTTATATTCACGTTGTACAAATTGAAGTAAATCCAATTGCATTCTACCATCAATATTAACCACTTTATTCTCTCTAGTCCCATATGCTTTCGAACTAAAAACCGAATCTTTAACTTCTTGTTTCATATTCTTTAATCTTCCGAAATATGGGAATTTCTTTAATCCCAACGCCTTGGCACGATCTAACAAATATGGAATATCGAAATTGGCAGTATTATAACCAATAATAACATCGGGATCTACTTCAGTTATGAATTCTTTCCAATGCATCAACATTTCCTCTTCCTTTTCATGTTCGAATATTTGTGAACCAATGATTGATGAACATGTATTCACTGTGAATACATTTCTTACAAATGGTTTCGGATCACCTGATCTCAGGACAACATTTGCGATTTGAATCACGGGGTCATGCTCAGCCTCGGGGAAGATCCCTTTACGACCAGCACATTCGATATCAAATGATAAGATACGGAGTGGGGCCATTTTTAACCAATCTCCTTCTGATGGATGTGATACTAAATCTTTGAAATCGATTGAACATTCGATTTGACAAGCGGAGATTTTGAGATGAGGTTCAACGATTTTATATTTGGTTTTTGGTAATGTGATCCAAGACATTCCCGTGATTTTACAATCAATCATTAATCGTAATAAGTAATTAATATTATCATATGAAACATTTTGAGGAGGGAATAAGTTTTCGAAATGAATATCACCTCTTTCTACTGATCCTCTTAATTTTGTAATATTCTTAACATTATTAACAAAGATCTTGAAAAATGGAGTTTTAATATTTCTATTGAAACCCCAAATTGATTCTTTTAATTTAATCTTTACATCAATAATTCCTTCATAATTAAATTTCAAATATCTAATAAAATCTTGTAAATGAACATCTTTAAAAAACCCCTTGGGGACAGGAACATATAAATAATGAATAAACCCAGTAACATTACATAACACAGAATGACCAGCTTCCGTAATCCCAAAGAATCTAGCACATGTATTATCATTATAATCATTAAATTCTTCAGCATCTAATTGTTGAAAACTGACATCTTCAAGCATGGGATCGAAACCGGCTTCCAAAGGAGGTCTTGACCATTGTTGATCTTCTTCATTATCGAATTCATTAGCGATTTGAGTCATTGCTAATAATTCTCTTTCGAATTCTGAAGGTTCTTCAGTCCCATTAGGTCGTTTTACTTTTTTAAGGATTTGTTCTTGAGATGGGGTTAATTCTACTTGGGAATTGATTAATTGGGAAGCAACTGGTAATGAATGCGCTTGATCTTGGTGAATAGACACATATGGTCTCTTCTCATTGGACATGACTACTACCTTACTGTTTTTACTTACTAATGAAGAAAGAATTACTAAGGAAAGATTTTGATTAAATGATGAGAAATTCAGTTTTTTTTATTGGAGTGCATAGCGTCACGCGTCTTTTATTTGATTTCGATTGCTCCCAAGACGCGTTAGTAAAGTACACGATGAAAATATCTATACAAAGAAGTATATTCCATACAAGAAGTATATACTCGAGGATTACGAAAGATGGTTATTTATTTACTGTCTAAGAATATCTATACAACTGTAAAAGTACGTTATCTACCATCCTCTAAATGGAACCCAAACATCAACAACAATTTCTTCATCTTCATCAACCACAAAATAAAATGGATGACAAGCAGCAGCAATACAAGCATGTTGAGGAATAACTTTCACTCTTGTACCAAATGGTATAAACTTACAATTCTCACCATTTGGAGTCAAAACTCCATGTTCTTGACTTAATCTCCCCACTATCCAATCACCATATCCCTGAGGTTCAACTACTTTCCCATGTCCACGAATCGCACTAAACTCTCTAGCTAATGCAAGTACCCCTGCATTAATAAGTTGTTCTCCCGGTGCGGAATCACCTCTATTTGGGTAGGTGGATACGATTTCACTAAGGACTGTCATGGAGATGATTTGTTGGGATATACATCCGGTTGATAATTGTTGTAAATCACAACAAGAATAATTTCCAGCATGTAATTCCAATTTCCCTTGTAATTGTTTCCCATCTCCCAACAAAGCATTGATTTCAGATTGGGATAACATTTCAGAAGCATGTGCTGTGGGAGTTGCTCCAACTGAGAGAACTAACTGGTTTACATCTGGATCAATTGATTTGACTAACAATGCAGCATTATTAGCAGCTACAATCTCATCGATAAGATACTTCTTAGCATCAAGTTCAGATTCAGAAGAATATGAATGTCCAGCATGACAATAAAGTCCATAAATCTCAATATGTTGTTTTACTTCATCATCCAATAATGCCAATTTCAAGATTTGAACAAGTTCTTTATCTTCAATTCCAAGACCAGCACGGTGGGTCCCCATATCAATCTTTATAAATATCGACCATTTCTTAATATCAGGATTCTGTTTCCTATATTCAACCAATGCATTCAATTGATCAACTTGATCCAACATTAATCGTAAATGTTCAACATTCTTACTAAATTCAGCAAATTCTTCAATCCGGGATTTAACAACTGGTAAACTAAAATGAACATCCTTAATCTGAGGAATATGTTTAAGAACATTCCAAGCTTCCATCATGGTAGATACAACAATCTTATCTCCTTGGTTTCCTAATTGTAATAATGTTCCTTCAACAGTTTTATGAGTTTTGATATGAGGACGGAAATCAGCACCTAAATGCTTAGCATTGTCTATCATATGTTGACAATTGGTCTTAAATTTATTTCTATTGATTATGATTGATGGAGTTGGAATCTCGTGAATTGATTTACCAACATATTGTTGACAAAGGGCTTGCTTATGAGCAATTGGCGTTAATTCTGATGGGAATGTCATTGTTACTCTTCTTCGTGTCGACTCTTATATATTTATAGATCTCTTTCAATTATTCAAAGATTGTAGAATGGGTTTATTATATGATATTTAAATAAATGAACAAGGTAAGAAGATTGATTTGTTGAAAACTGGGGCTTAAAAATCAGAGTCAAAGAAAAAACAGTAGGATCCCCCACGATCCCCCCACCATAATCAATTAGACTTCTTTTAAGAGGCATTCCTGATGATAACAATGAACAAAGAAACAAGTCATTTATACTGAGCGGGGGTTAATCTAGACTGATAAGGTATCCGAGGGATATTCCAGTTAGACCAACGCAACAGCAGAGTTAAACCGTTGATTACCAGTGTAGATGGACATTGCCTGTAGATCGTAGATTGTCTGATAATGAAACAATTTACAGATAGGTCAATTTCTATAGTAATGTTTATAACACGATGATATCAATCGAATCGATTAGAATAAGTTTAACATAACTGCATATTCCATAAATAAATCCTAGTTGAGGAAACTGCTATTCTTTTTTAACCCCTTCACGACTTACCACTTTTTGTTATGAGCTCCTTAGAGAACACTGCTGTATTCGACTACAACAATAATCTTTTTGAACCACCTTGCACGACCTCTCTTCTATGCTATTCAGTTTATATATAGGCCAGATTTAGTTTGTCGGGTCTTTAATCAGAAATTTAAAATAATTCTTGACCGAATTACTTTAGGTTTCTTTTTGGTAAATGTACAGGTTTTACATTGACAATGGAATACCAGAAATTGGTTTA